GCCTTTCAAAGAAACACCAAAGAGATGAAGGGAAGAATAATTTTGGAGGCTTTTTTTTTTTAATGCCCCCTTTTAGACCGACAACAGTGACTGGAGGAATCACAGGAGAGCTCTGTAAAACCAGAATGGGAGCTGCTGTTCTGGAGTAAAGGACTACTTAAAATGGAAGGCCTGGGAAAAAAAAAAGTAATTTCTGTGATCTCAGGCAGCATAAATTATAGAGAGAAGACATTTGATGAGTTCTATGCTAAGGATTAATTTGCCATTTAAAAATGCAGGGAACAGATGGATCTCTTGGCTAGGACTATATTTGGGAATTACTTCATTTTGCTGCCCACATGCAAATAAAAATACAACTAAAAGTAGAACTTTTTGTGAGCTTTCACATGGGTAGAAAACACTGAAGTAATGAAAATAGAACCAAAAAGAAAATGTCCGTATGAAATAGGTGAAGTGCCACAGTACCTATTGTGGATCTGCAGTAGGTTGGGGGAGAGAATGTGATTTTACTTTGTTGAACAACTATGGAGAGTAATGCCAGACTTAAAGAGCAAATTTAAGAGAAAAAATACAACAAAACCAACCCAGCAAAACCTGTATCATATGACAGCGTTTGCCACTGAAGAGTAACTTCTGAGAAAGCACCTTGCTGTAACTTAATTCCATGGAATTTGTTAGGATTTAACGATTACATCTCCACACATGGTCAGAAGTCCAGGGATTCTCTTTCCCAAAAGGCTGGGCCAGTTCCATCGCACTTACCAGGGATCACAAAGCATGGGTGAGAACTTAATTTGTGAGAAAGACACGTAAGTAGGGGAAAATCCAGAAGAAAATGCCTTACACCTCCCTGGACTGAGTACAGCCCTGGCCTCCACCCCGCATGGCAGCGGCTGGGGAAGGAGGAGCAGTGCGAGGCAATCCCGCTGGCACAGTGAAAGGATGGGACGGAAGAAAAGTCCTCTGAGGAATTCCCACAGGCAAAGCCTGTGTGCTTCCCTTACGGGAGCCAGTGCTTTCAAACCCCCAAACCATGGCAGCCACACGTACAGAGTAATTAAGCACCTTCCTTTTTTCCATGTGATTTCTCAGAGTTCAAGGGAAACTGCATATTAAAAAGCAAACCCAACATCAACTCCTGAGACAGCTGTTAGATACCATCTCTGTTTCTCCTCTAGCAACACAATAAGCTCTCCTCTAGCAAAAGAAGTGTTTCTTCTCCCTCTCTCCATCTCAAAAACAAACAAACAAACCGAAAATTTCACCCAGCAAAACCCCGACCTGTGCAGGACGTCCTCGGCGTATTCCCAGACTGCGGAACCAGGATAAGCACAGCTCCACGCGCGTTTAGAAAACGAAGAGGAATAGAAAATCTGTACTAACCCGACAGCTTCCTTTCTGTGACTATTCATCCTTCACAATCCAACAGGACACACCAGCCAGTAAACAAACATGGAAGGGAGGGACCAACTTCAAAGCAAGTGTGTAAATCTTACATAATTTGAGGGTTTGAGATCTTGCAGCAACCTCTTACCCAACGAGGTGTCAGATGATCCAAGGAGGTCAGACCTGTAGCAGCCATGGTAAGTAGGACACTCTGCATCTCACTCAGCCCAGCGCGGCACCGTTTGTCCACAGGGACCTGGGGCCGGGCATTCTTGGGGATTCACTTTCAGGAGGAGAACAGTGCCTTTCTTTCACGCGTTATCATGCCAGAATAGCTCTCTGCTCTCTAACGGATGAAAGATAATAAATACGTGAATGCCCTTAGAGCCGGGATCTGCTGGAGATGTGTCTCAATTATTCTTGATTTTTAAACTGTTTGATGAAGTTCTCATATTTTTGCCCAGGTATAAAACCGATGATTTCTGGACATCTGCAGACAACACCCCACAACCATGGAAGAAATGAGGACACGGGCCTGAAAATCACTTCCCTCTCACAGAAAGGAATTCTCTAAAAGGTACTTTTCCTGCCATCCTGGATTTCCAAGTGTCTTCTAGCCAAAACCATCGCTTTGAGCTAAATAAAGTAACAAAGCACTGAAGCCCAGACATTCCTCAAAGAGAAGGAACTAGAAGACTCCACATCTCGCTTCTCCACACAGCAGAGTGCACTCATGGCTGGAAGGACCAGGAAACAAAGGAACAGGTCCCCTACCTTTGTTATGAGCCTCTTGCAAGGAGGGATCACAGAGAAGTCCTGTTTCTTAATGCCAAAGCTATTTTTGTTCTTATATTAAGCACTTAATGAATAATCATTCAAAGACTTTATTCACAAGACATCTATACAGTGCATGTCTCCCTGCTCCTCCTTTGGGAAACTCAGCTTCCCTTCAAGAATTAAACAAAATGTGGACCACATCCCAACACATATAAATTTTTTCTCCTCTACAGAACACATTGAAGCCCTCACCTCTCTCCCAAGCCTGTGATTTTCCACTCAAGAGCCATGCTGCCTTCTCCTCTCTGAGCAGCATTAGGAGCTGACCGCAAGGATCTGCAGTGGGATCCCTAATCTGCTGCTAAGAAGCTTTTGCACTTAAACCTTTGATGCCATCATTAGTGGTTTCGGCACTCGCGATGTCACAGCCAGACTGCGCTCGACGCCGCGATGATGAGGGCAAAGCTAAGCACATCAGGTACATGGTTAATTCAATGGGCAAAGATTAGGGGATGATACTATTTTTCATTTTTTCCCCAATAAGGCTTATTTACTATTAATTCCCATCCCTGTGACCTTATTTAAGTACAGCATGTTCCACCCGAGACTGTAAAGTTAACGCCCAAGTCACATTGCCTCGAGGAGCCCTGTTCTCCCAGACCTCAGGTTTTATGGGGAAGGTTCTCCTTCTGCATCCATGCCTCTGGCAGAGCCAGAAACATCCTCTTTGGGGAAAAAAAAACAACAACAAAAGAAAAACCAACAAATCACTGTATTTGCAAGTCCAAAGGGACCTGGTGTCTAGGCTTTAATTGGAACACGTATGGCTGAGCACAGGCAGTGGCTGGATTTTTCCTTTGATCACTGTAATGACTGGTATTTTTTCAAGAAGCATTCAATACAGCCTTCCTCTTCTGCTATTCATCCCTCCACGTGAATATTTATCAGAAATTATTAAACTGCCCTTTATTGCAAAGGTCTGTGTGACGGGGATGCTCTCCCCCAGCTCTGGTGCCTGCGGTGCCTGTGTCTCCATCACCACTGCAGATAAGCACTTCCAGACCACAATCCTCTAATCTATTTTAGCCATGATTCACATCTGAGCTGTGTGTCGCCCAAAGAAAGGCGAATCTGGACCGCTTGTGCAGAGGGAGGCAGCCACCACAGCCCACGGCACCACACGTTTCCCTGTTTTCCTTGGCTTTCTCGGGGCTGGTTTCCCCTTGCTCTCCCAGCGTGCAGCAGGAAGAGAACACATTTCTCTTCCTGCCTCCAGGATCCCTCAGACTAAGCCTGGCTTCTGAGCAGTAACACGGGCAGCTTCAACTTCCCTGACCTCAGCTAATTCTTTCCTTCCCTCAGCCTACTCAAGATGATTAAGCAAAATACTTGGAAGGAAATCAAAGCCTTAAAAATGCAATTAGAAGTGACCATTTTGTTAATACGCACACGCACAACCCCAAAGTCAAACCCAATCCAACAGCACCTGACCTTTGGGAAAAGAGCAATTTTTAGCAGCTCCCACGGACTTAAGGAACAGCCCAAAGTCTCCCACAACGCTGGTGGGAGCAGTGCTGTCCGCATAGCTCAGGTTTTTCCCGCTATTCCTAAAACAGGAGGTTAGGAAGACATGAAATTGCGAATTCTCACACCAGACACTGGCTCCCCCAGACCTACAGCTGTCCAGGGGTGACTTAAAAATATCATTTTTAACACACATCCTTCCACACGCCCAGATCTTTCTCCCCCAGCTGAGGAAAAGGCAAGTTCACCGGAGGGTCTGGAATCAGCTGCCACAAATCCTGATATTCTCCAGCAAAGATTCTAATCTCATTGCAAGAAACCTTTAAAACACTGAAATAATAATAATAATCTCTTTAACAATAAAGTCATTTGACATCATCAAAATAGTTATCTCAGTAATAAAATAGAAATATTTTTCTAGGGCAATTTTCACTTCACCCATCCACAACATATTTTTAAGACTTCTTTCCTGAAATTAATTTGAAAAGAGATTTTTTTTTTTTTCCTCTGCCTGTAAAGAATCAAACGCACTTTGAGAATGCAGCAGTTGAGCTTCTGGGCCCTGACACAGAAACAAAGGCTGACAGCCCAGATTTAGATAAACACCTACTTCTGCACATTTAGGAAGAGGCTTAATTGCTTTGTCATTCAGAGCCAGCAATTACCAACTATTACTGGGAGTGCGGGTGGTGGGGGGTATTAATTGCAGTCAAATGTCCACTCTTCTTGGGCAGCTCATGCCAAGAAAATTAAACACTAAATAAAAAAAAAATTAAAACCTGTCTTCATTATAACATTTTAAAGTATTTTATTGTCTATTTATGTGTGTGGAGGGGTGTGGATAGGTTCTCGCAGAGGGGCCAACAAAGACAGAATTTCTATTTCATTTTGAAACTGTGTCAAATCACGGCAGAGCTGGTATTAGGATGTTGGGGCAGGCTCCAAAATCGCCCTTTTGGGGGATTTTTGGGGCTGAATCCTCCAGCGAGGAAACCAGTGCTTAACTTCTAGAGCAAGCAGAGCATTTAAGGTTTAAAACAAATAAATAAACAACCTAAAATAGGTTGAGAGGGTGGTTTTCCCCCCTCAGAGCCGGCTCTGACACGGGCACTGCTACTTAATTTCTCTGCGCTGTGTGAAGGGAAAACCTTCACGCAGGAGCGAGAGCTGCTCCAGTGCTAAGAGGGGGGAGGGATTCTATATATGTTTTTTCATTTAAAAGCCTTTTTTTTTTGTGGCAATGGCGGCTAAATTCCGCGGGGCCCGGGCGGCCCGGGCGGCCCCGCCCCGGGGGCGGCGCGGCAGCCCCGGCCGGCTCCCGCCGGCTCAGACCGGTTCTCAGCGCAAACAACCGCCCCCCGCCCGCCGGGGCACGGCGGCGGCGAGCCCCCGCTTATTCCTTCAGAAACACCCGCTTTACCCCCCACAAAACACCCGCTTCTCCCTCGGAAACACCCGCTGTCCCCACCCTCCCGAAAGAGCCGGGCGAGGCGACTCCGCGGCCGCGCCGCCATTACAGCGGCGGGCGCGCTCCGCCGGCTGAGGCGAGAGAAAGCGGCGGGGTTTCGGAGCGAGATAAAAATCTTATTATGCAACGCACATTTTTAATAGATTATTGCCGAGTCCAGGGCTGAGGTAATGCGGGCTGTCAGCAGCTGGGGCGAGAGGCTGAGGGACAAGCGGGCTGCGGCCGCTCCCTGCCAAGGGCGCCAAGGCACCATTTCTTCACCATCCGTGAGGAGAACTTTGATATATCACGTTATTTTTTTTCCACAGAAGGATCTGTTTATGTGGTTACACATGCACAGGTACGTCTTTTTCGGCATATCTCAAGTATAAAGGTTTGCTTTCTGTATTATAATTTCTCCAAAGCCATCTGAAAACGTTCTGCCTGTGCTCAATCTCAAGAAACCCGATACAGTCCCAAGGGTAAAAAAAGCCACGTTTAAAGGATGGTCTCGGTTATATTTAGCTAAGCAGCAGCACAGGCTGACACGAGCAGAAACACAAGGAAGAACAAAGTGAAAACGCTCGACAGTTGTTAACAAAAATCTGCGAGCATCTAAGGTGGAATTTTTTCCTAAATTTTCCTGTCCCTAATTCACATTTTGCCGCGCAGAGAGAACATTAAAGCAGCACATGGGTTTATGTGAACAAAAGGTAAGGATGAGGTGTTTCACCTGACTCTTGACAGGATTTACTGTTGCCTTTGTGTAATGGAAAAGGCTTCCTACTCTAAGAAATTCTTTAATTTTCTTTTATAAATCTTAACCTAATTATTCTCCCATACAAACACAAGCCTGCTCAACCCTGTCGTTCTACCAGAAGAGATTAAAAATTTTCAGCTCATCTCTACAGTACCAAATGTATGTGGAATTATTTAACCTCGACAAAAGACATCTCACAGAGGTTTCAATAAAGACTAAACAGCTACATTTAACCTCACTGTTCCTGATTTTTCATCTGTCCTCAGCACAGGCATCTCCAAACCCACTCAAAATCCCAAATCCCAGCTAAATCAGTGATTCATCACTTCTGGCAGCAAACGACACGGGAAGGAGGAGATGAAGACAATGGTAGAGAAAGGTTTGCATTATGTAATGAAACTAAAACTCACTTTTTTTCTACTTTCACTTCAGTTGTTGAAACAGGGTAGGAAAGTCCCTGACTAAATAAAATACACAGGAGGTTTCAGGGAGCCTGTTTTTCCCATGATTAAAATTCTCTTGGCAGTATTTTTCATCAGTTTATTTCAATATTAAGACACACACATATTCCATTCCAATGGTAATTCCTTGCTCCAGAAAGAATTTCATCACAGAGAAATCTAAAATTAAAACCAATCTCTAATTACCTTATGCCTTGCCCACTTGTCACAAGAACTTTAAATACAGCTGTCAGAATTATAAAAAAAATTCCTTTTTCAAATATCTGTAAATGCAACTACTTCCCGTTTCTTGATTTCAGGAAGACTGGAATAACTGTGCTCACATAGATCTTGGTGAATATAAAACCAGTGTTGTGTCTAAGCTGAAAATGCTCTTTTAATTTCCCAATATCTATTTCATATTACAAGCTATAGAGAAATAGTCATCTAAGTAATTATTCATCCAACTCCAGCATCCTGGAGATGAGACAACCAAATAAACACTCTTAAAAATAAATTAAAGGTGACTACATTACACATTATAGGAAATTATTCATTTAACTGGTAAATCCCCCAGCATCCTCCACATCAGACAACTGAATAAACACTCTTAAAAAATAAATTAAAGGCCAAGGAAAACCTCAGGTCGCTTATCTGCAGATGGAACACATGGGGTGTTCACACTTTCGCAGCCTGAACATCACCTACAGGAAATCAAACACTTCTGCCTGGGTTTTTGTAAATGAATTCAAACCCCATCCCAACAAGGATTTTAGGAGCGAAACGCTCTGCTCTCATCACCGGGTGGTTCAGCACACTGCTGCAGCAAAGCTTGAGGAATAATCACTAACACGTGGAGCAGCAAGAGATGTGTCAAGCCATCTGATATTACAAAACTGAATCAAAAAGCCCAGAAATTATTTTTAGCACATTAGAGCACCTCAACAAGCAGCCTAGAAAAGAGCTTTTGCTACAAAAAAAAAAAAAAAAAAAAGAAAAAACCAAACTAAAAGCAGGGGGGTGTTTCCATGAGGCTGGGCAGGGCACAAACAAAATCTTGTTTGCTTCCTATGGGATCACCCAGCTTCCATCCAGAGCCAGCTTCTTCCATGACACACTACAGAAAATATGTTTGCTAATGTATCATTTGTGGTGTGTGTCTGAATCACCAGAACAGAGACAATGAAGTTTCTGGTTGTGGCAAATTATCATTTTCAAGGGCTTTTTTATTCTTTCAAGGTGATAAAAAAATTCCACCAACCCTTTTCCACTACATGGGAATGAGCAATCTTACACTAAGAAGATTTCAAAACACAAATTCCTCCTCAAATCCACACAGGAACCATCCACATCCACCAGCTTCCTCACCTCAGCAGACAACTTCTGAGAGGCCACAAAACACCCCAAATAAAGCCTGGCTTCAGAGAATACTGGTTATTTTTAATGTGTTCTTTCTGGTTTTAGTTTCTAAATTACTCCCTTGCAGTACCATTACCTGCAAAGGGCTCCAAATAGCAATTTAAAGTTTAGTGGAGATCCAACACAACAAACTCTGAACCTTGACGAGATAAAGGCTTTTTGGGGTTGTTTTTTTTTTTTTATTTTTAAGCAAGCAGTGTTTCTTCAGTGTTGTCCAGGAAAACCAGCTCCATTTAATCAGCGTTATTTACTTCACACAGGTCTTGAAAACCACAAGCAAGGAAAACCAAACTTCTCCTTCACCACCTTTCTGCTTTTTCACAGCTCCTGAAGGACAGTGCCCAGCATGAAGTTCCCACCAGTGCTGAACACCCACCGTGTGCCCCAAACACCCCCCAGGGAACACAACTCTGCGGGCTGAGACCAACAGGACAAGACTTGAGTGACCAAGTTCTTAAATTTCAGAAGAATGCATTGTCATAAAGACCTTAATAATACTATGGCCCCTCAAAATTGGCCATTTCCACTTATAAGAAAGCCTTAAGAGAATCTCCAACTAGCTAAAATCCTCAAGACCACGGAAACTACCGGCAATAATTATTCCCAGACAAAAGAAACTGGATATATCACACAGAAAGTGGGAGCACCGAACCAGGGAAAAGGGGGTGAGGCAGCTTTTGCTCACCAACAGTGTATGAGTGGCTTAATATTTACATGGCTAAATTTCAACTGTTTTGAAAATTAAACACTTGTGCTTTGAAAGACTTCAAGGCCAGGTGGGGTTTTGCTTCCCAAAGGAAAGCGAGGGTTAAATGTTTATTATTATCTAACTGATTGCTAAGAAACACGTAACTCTTTTCTGATCCTTCAAAATTAAATATACAATCCACCAGATTCCATTACTTGCTCGACTGAGTTTGATTTTATTGTATTAATAAGAAAAAAATGTTTTATTTCCTCCCAGAGTATCGTCTACTTTTCCATTACTACAACTAGAAATTGCCAAGAAAATGAAATGCTCAAGCACAGCAGACACTGCTTTTCTTCTCATTAAATCTTAAAACTTGGTTCCAGTGGGATCATATTTAGTCCTCTCAAATTCAGAACAGGATTTCATCCTGCCTCGACATCCCAACAATGACATTTTATAAATATTACGAGTTTCTTGGACGCCTTTCTCATTCCACAAGGAGCAGAGAAGCACCAGTAGAGATTTTTTTTTCTTCCCCTGCTCGAGATTTTTTTATTAAACCTTAAATGTAACCAGCCCTCCTTTCAATCCATTTTCTCTAGGATTTTTTTGAGACCTCTAGAAATCTCACAGATTTTTCTGAGCTGTAATAAGTGTGAAAAATCTTTGACAAAGAATTGTCTTTATTCAAGCATTAAGCTCTCATTGAAAGAGGTGCTGGAAATAAACAAGTGCTTAAAAGCAGCCTAAAAGTTGTCTTAAATCTTCACCTGCTCTCCAGCTGAGACAGGACCTGGATTTCTAAATCCAAGAGGAGAAAACAATAATTAAAAGAAGTAAATAAATCCTTGCATGACTCTTTAGACATGAGGGGGTGGGGCAATCAGAAGAGGAGACACTGATTTCCTCATCTTCTGTACACTCTCCGTGGGTGTCAGCCCATCTCACCCTTCCAGAAGGTTCAACATTCAAGGTAAGACTTTGTGAGAATAATCCCCTTGGTCACAGAGTTCTGACAGTGGTAAAATTCCATTCACAGTGATAAACACAGAATCCTAGAACAGGTTGGGAGGGACCTTAAAGTTCACCTAATTCCGCCCCCTGCCATGGCAGGGACACCTTCCACTGTCCCAGGTTGGTCCAAGCCCTGTCCAGCCTGGCCCTGGACACTGCCAGGGATCCAGGGGCAGCCACAGCTGCTCTGGGCACCCTGTGCCAGGGCCTGCCCACCTTCCACAGGGAGGAATTCCTTCCCCATATCCCAGCTAACCCTGCCCTCTGGCAGTGGGAAGCCATTCCCTCTTGTCCTGGCACTCCAGGCCTTTGCGAAATCACACACTCTACTGATACACTTATTTACTCAATGAATATTTTCAGTTTTAGAAAAGACCTGGTATGCAAAGGAAACGCTGCCAACTCTGCAAACCCTCCTGAAGAGCAGAGCCCTTCGCCAAAGAGCATGAAACATTAATGGGTGCAACCATAGTTTTGTGGCTTCCACTCTTAGGGTGAATTCACTCTTAAAAGGCCAAATATCAGAGAGGCACTTCAACATGAATTTAAAAATTATTAAAAGAAATCAGTGATTTTCTAACACCTTCTTTTCTCCCCCATAGGTATTTTGTAAAGCCAAGCAAACACAGAGCTATTGCAGAACCAAGGAAACGCATCCCCAGGAATTGCAAACTTGGATTATTTTCTTTTAATTCTTCCAAGTCTACAAATTTTGCTGTGAGGCAGCAGTGCGAGAAATGAGAAGGTGATAAATCAACCTTGTGAATGTCAGGCAGTGTCAGGGAGCAAGAAGAAACAGAACAACACCACTCATCATTTCCCAAAGTATGTTGAAGTGTGGTCTGTAAAAAGTAGCTGACCTTAAAATCTTTTTCTCTCACTGAAGCAAATAAAAGTGACCCCATTCTCCAGGCACAACAGGCAGCAAGGCCTTGTGTCCGTACATCCCTGCTCTGCCCAGCCACCATCTTACACATGCTGCATGGATCCACCATGGGAAACAACGAACAGCACCAGCGTTCCCCTCAGAACCCTTGGTGCCAACTGAGCCTTCTGACATTTCACTGCAGCTCGTTCTACCTCAGCGACCAAAGCTTCGCCAGGGAACAACTCCTCAGGCTCGCACCTCGTGAAACGACCCGCACAGCCCCCGGCACAGAGACCTACCTGTCGCTGCTGGTACTGCTGCTGCTGCTGAGGGAGTCGCTGCTGGAGGATCTGCTCCGGGAGCCGCTGCCGCTGGGGGAGCGGGCGGGCCGGGCGGCCTGGCTGGCCAGGCGCTGCGGGGACTGCGTCCTGGACTGCGACGAGTGCGGCGAGCGGCTCCGGCTGTGCTGGTAGTTCCGCTCCGGCCTTCTGCCTCGTACCTCCCGTGTAATGTCATCCCTGTAGATATCCCTGTGTACCACACTGGGCAATGTAAACTGCTCCCGGGCCCTAGGTTCGTATCGGGGGTCGTGAGCGTCAAAGCGGTTTGGACTTCGGCTCCGAGAAGTGTAATAGAGCCCGTGTTGTAAGGTCCGCTCCCGAGGGTCTCTATAGTAATCCTGATCGTAATGTCTCGTCCGATCAAATCCGCCCGTCCCCCGCTCATGGTGTCCATAGGCACTATGTTCATAAGCACGCTCCCTGTTATCTGAAGCCCTGCATTTGGGAAGGGGGAAAAATATTGCATCAGAAAGGGGCAGGCACAACCAAAAGCAAATCATGCAAACATTCATGGCAGCACTCGACTTATTGTTGCGACTGCTTCTCCACTAACCAGCAATAACCTATCAAGCAAACAATGACAAACTTCAAAACATTTTACTTGACTCCAAAGTTATATTTGTATACGATTAAGCTGAGCAATCTTTTTGGTTTAATCACAATATGGGGCTTTCATGACCAGCAACTTGCCTGCACAGGAAAAAAATTTCTGCTTTCCCATGCAGAATCCTCATTTCAATCGTTCCTTTTTCTTTTAAATTCTGTAAACAAGAAAAACTTCATGTTTGTGGACATCAACTTCTTTTTCTCTCCATTTTTGCTTAAGAGCTTTAAAAAAATTTTTTTTTGAAATTTGGTAATTACTGGAGCTCTTGTAAATATCCTTCTGCAAAAATGGCATCACAAATTGGGCTGTAGCCATGAAAGCCTCCATGCAAAGCATGACCCGAGGTAAGAAGCTGCTTTCAAAAGGGGTGGCATAACCCATAGAGATTTCCCAGAAAATTAGGGGGTTTCTTGTTGCTGCTCTAAAAGATTTCACCCTCTTAGAGGGAATTTTTGCTTTGACCAGATTGCTACAATCATTCATTGTAAAAGTTATGGATGCTAAAGAAACATCTCCATTACTAATGCTGGAACTGCAAGGATGCAGGTCCCCAGAACATACTAAGACCCTACACAAGGACTGGAAATCCAATTTATAGGCATTGTTTTTGTTTGGACTGCTGCAATCATGGAATTTCTCTCTGCACAAGCTGCTGCTTTCCAGCAGCCACAGTCCAGTTCATTTCAGTGTTTTGAACATTTTAAATTGAGAAAGGCTCGGTAATGTTCTGAGTTAGTGTGATGTCTCAAATAAAGAGATTGACAGATAAAGGAACACTACAAATAGTTGAGAATTCCAATTTAGACAAGTACCAGGATGGTACATCTTAGTTGCATCTTACAAAATGGAAGCTTCAGAATTGTTACTTTGAACATTTAAAAAATACTTCTAAAATTCTAAACATGTCAGGGTAGCCAAAATTAATTTAAAAATTAATTATCCATCTTAAAAATGACACTTCAACCTTTTTTTCAGCCTTCTCTCTCAGATTCTTCCTTTAGAATCTGTTATGAGTCACTTCAGTCCCCTGAATCCTGATAACCCAATTCTGCCTTGTGCTGCCTCCTCCTCTCCTGCATCACTGCTCTAGTTCGAATGGCAGAAATATTTCAGGGATCTTTTATAAACTGCAAATGAGATTTGAATCTTTTTTGATTAGCATCTCAGGAAGTTCCTTCCATTCCTTCTCCAATGAATCACTAGATCCTTAATCCTCTCAATATATTCACTCTCTGTTGTTAAACTGTAACTCTCATCAAGCTTTCTATAGGGCTCCCTCACATCTTGCCTGCATTTTTTTCTCTCAAATGATATATAAAAAATTATTTCACCAGTGCAAGAGAATGTCATTATCTTCTACATCTGCTTGAAATTCATTGTTGCGTTTCTATTTCCATTACCTCTTGCTCGCAACAATGGAATTTTGAAAGCTATTTCAGAATCTGGCACAGAAACGTCTCTGTTTTGGTTCTTTTTTCCCCCTTTTGAAGGACCAAGATCAACAATTTTACAAACGATTGCATTTAGCATCCTACAAAGTGTTAATCAGTGAGAGCTGATTTAATGAGGTCAGAGAAAAAGCAGTATTTTCTAGCAGGTTACTGCTACAGAGCTGACAGAAAGAACAAATCCTTATCCGTGAGAAGGACACAGAAGACAGACAGAGGAAGCAGAGCTGAACAGCTACTGGCTACAGTGCTTTCTTCATTTATCTATTAGTACTAAAGTGCTACTGGAGTTAGTGGAAAGAGAGGGTTTGACTTGGGTTAGGAGAGGGGCTAATATACACAGGGCAGGACATACCAACCTTTTCCAAGTGTGGAAACACGACCTATATTCCCAATTAAATCTAGGGAGAGAATTGTGAACATAACTTCCCCAATTTTGGCCCCTCTTACAGGGGTAATCCACCTTCTTAATGGGCAAGGGTGTCAAATGATATTTTAGATGAACCAACAAGAAAAAAAAAATCTTAGTGACAAGACACAAAAAAAAAATTCCACTGGACGGAAGTAGTCCCAGACTGAAACTGTAACTCTGAAACCCCCAGACTTCTTTCTTGAGACAGAAGGCACTTAAATAGATCCATAATTTTAATTTCCAGCCCTAAGTCTGAATCAAGCAGCTGGTAGAAGATCCCCCGAGGCCCGAGGGCCCTCACGCTGCTGCCAGCAGGCATCCTCTGGCCGCCTTGGTAACCATCCAGCCCAGTCACTTCTCACTGGTGTATCCACAAACGGGTATTAGCACCACGTCCTTAAAGCTAAAGTATGTTTAATGTGGAGCAGCAGAGCTTTTTAAGAGACTAGATAGTAATCCACTCCCCATGGCTACTGGCGTCTTGACTGTATACCATCCAATAAATTCAAGGCAGTAGTTCTTATCCCAGCTTTAAAAAAAAATAAACTATAATTTCCAAAATTTAGTAATGTCCGTCATCACTTTTTGCCAATACCATCAGAAAGAATAATCCCAATAACTTGGAAATGATGTAGATCCAAAATGGAACCATCACAAGCTGCCTTCGGTCTTCTCCATCCAAGCGTTATTTCCATGGCTAAGAGTTGTCGGTAGAATCCAAGGGGCCGCATCATTAAAGTCTACTCTGAATTTTGTGGTGACAATCCAATTAACATACCCGCTGCGTATAGTGAGAACTGAGAGCTAGGCATCAAGCTTTCACCGAATTCTAGGTTCTAGTATTCCGAAGATACTCCACAGAGAACTTCACCACAAGTTGTAGAGTAAGATAGCTCCATCTGGCAGCAGGGATACATCCAGCAAGGCCTTAATATTATCCAAGAAATGGGATCGCTACTTCTAGAAAAGAGTAACTCCAATATCGATGCTGGCCAAAGGAAATCTTCCATCTTAAAACCACCTTATTTCAAGTGTAGGTAGATATCCAACCAGCTGCAGGACACATCCTCTATGGATCCACAAGGTACCAGCCACTGGGATAGAAATCACTTCCGTTTCCAACCCAAAATAGGAAACATAGATAATTCCCAAAATTTTAAATCCATCTGGGGGCCCTAGATACGAGTTTGTGTTTCTCACCATATCAAATACAAAATACCTGCCTAGAGAAACCTTGGAACTTACCCATCAAGTCTCCGCTCATAACGTCCTTCCCGTGCATGAAGTGATGGTGGGGGGCCATAAGTGGGCCCTCCACCACCTCCTCTGAACCCAGAAACCTCTCTACTACGAGATGCTATGGAAACTGTATCATCCAATCCCCGCGCAGCACTGGGAATGGTTCCTGGCTCATTATAATCCGTCCGTAGGTCTCTATCTCCCATTTTGTTGACAGAGTTGTGTGCCTTCTGGGCACTTTTGATGTCCACAAAATCCACAAACGCTGCCACTCCGCCTTCCGACCCCCTCTTAGGGAGGATTTTGACACTTTCGACACGTCCATATCTGGAAGAGAAGCAAAGCAGAGCACACACGTTAGTGCTGGTGGGAAGAGACCACGTTTAATAACATTGCCTCCTGAAAAAGCAACATCCAACCCTTCACCCTTCCCCTCTGCCAGAAAAATCAATCATTGGGAGACACCAAGAGGGGAAATGCCATTTGGAGAGGGGGAAAATCCATTTAAACTTCCCATGGTTACATTTAAACTCCTTTCTGGAAGTCTGGGAAGCCTACCATGGGATCACCCTTTTTATAGCAACAGAGCAGCAGCAGCTGAAGAAATAGAAAGGTGTTCACAACCAGAGCACCCTGCACATCATTAGTCTGACACAATTAAAGAGGCACAATTAAAACAAAACCGTGTCACGAGGAAAAATACAGACAGCCAACAATTTTCTTAGGAGACAAATGACCTTGACACAGCAATTCCACTACTTCAATCTGTATTTAACCCAGAGTCTCCACTGTGATCCTCGCTCCTGATCCCAAACCCGTTTACCTGGCAGGACACACGGACCCCCAGACCCAGGTGCTGCTGGGGTTCAGCCTCCCACCCCCACTGCAGACCCAGCTGCCCAACAGGAGCTGAGAAATGCCAGAGGGAATGTGACACCACCCTACGTAATGTATGTTAAGTAACTGCAACACTGGCACTTATGGATGAGTAAATGTCTATGCAAAATAAAAATAAACCCAAACATGTTTGTGTACACAAGGAAACAAGATGTAGAAACATATTTAAATAACTTGCATCCACTCACAGTAGAAAGGACAAGCTGGGCGGGATGAGCACAGTGACATTTTAACAGCCAACAACTGCACGGTTTGGGTGCTCAGTTCTCTCTGCCAGAAGATTCTGAGCAAACCAGGGAAAAGCTTTGAATTGCAGCTGGTAATCCAGGACAAGAA